CCAGTCAGGCTTGGGATAATTATACCTTCTGTAATCCACAATCCACTAGTTAGCTGATAAATTAGTGTGCTTTTTACAAAGAAGTAATACTCATGTTACAATTTGTAACGCAAACCAAAAGGAAAAAAACCCTGAAAACTAACCCAAAGAAAAACAGAAATCAATAAAATAAGGAAAAATCAGCCATGCAGTGAAACAAACAGAATTAACAGAGAACACTTTCAACCCTATCAGGTTTCACTTTAAATAAAGAAAACCCCATACTGCAGAAACACAAAGCCAATGTTTTACCCTTCTGTGTATGTACATCAACAGGGGTTATGCAAAAATTCAAGGCCAGAATGTGGCTGAATAGTAATTTTTTAAATTACTTTGTACTACCTTTTATACTTGATCAGTCAGTAGTCACATTGAGTTCGATGCAAATATTCATAGGAGAAAAAATTACTTGCATAATAAAGAACTGTAGAATCAACCACAATCAAATACATCCTAGTTGTATTCAAAGGGGCCACATGGGATATAAAACACAAATTGGGAAATTTAAGTGAAATTTGTTGATAATGTTACTGTAAGGTAATTAAAATACTCTTGTAGATGAAAGGTGATATGTCACTATCAGGTATCTTTAGGCAGACATAGGGTCTTTGTTACTCCTGGATATTCCACTTATTTCTTGTTTCATTCACTCTATATTTACAGTAAAATATGTTGACTAGAAACATTCCATATTTATTTAGGATTTAGCCCAAAAGAGCTTCATCAGTATTAAAAAACAGAGAAAAAAAATCCAATAATATTGGACCCATTAAACAAGAATAAAAGGAAGAGCTCGTTCACTAACGCTTTGAAAGACATAATAAATGTATGGGTTCATTTGATTCACACTCATTCCAAAGTAAGATTCCTTTGATTCTGAGAGCACTGCACAAAACAGTGTACCTCATACACAGCTGACAAGGCATCAGCTCAGGTAGATACTCTCTTAATATGCCAGTTCAACAAGGTGCTGAACCATAAACACTGATGCAATCCAGCTGCACAAAGTTCACATCTGACTGAAGTCAGTGCTCTTTCTGGTATCTGTTGAGGACTTCTACATTACTGACAGGTTGGTGAGAGCTGCTGCTGCACTAAGGAGGCTGTTACCGGTCCAGCAGCTGCAAATGAAAGATTAAATGATGGCTGATAGCATAAGTAAAATAATTAAAAAAAAAAAAAAAAAAAAAAAAAAAGCAGTTTTCATAAACTACTGGTTACACAATAAGTATTAATAAATGCCTGGTCTAAAAACTCAGATGTTACTCTGGACCAAAGAATGCCAGACTCATGCAAAACTCTGTGGTTTGGGGACCAGGCTTTGGGACTTTTCTGGGATGTAAAATATGCAAAATTCCTGCCCTTCATAAATTCCAGCACTGCTTCTCATTCCATAGCTCTGTACATGTCTGAAATGGCTGGACTTCTGCACATCTTTATCTTAATCCTACTTAAAAAGCTTATGAATGAGAACACTGGAAAATGGAGGCAAATCCTGTTTTCCTCAGCTGAAATGTCTACTGAATTCACAGAAATCTTTCCTGGGAGGAGGACTAAGCCAGAACTGCTGTGCCTCTAATATTGGTGACTGAGATGAGATGCACATCTGCATTTACTAAGTTAAAAAAACTCAAAAAGTTAAGTGTGCCTGTACTGTGCAATGTACTTGATCTATAATATTCCTTTTTTTACTAGCTAAACATAGTTTTAATTTCTTGCCACACATTCTTCTTGCTTTCTCCTATTTATTGTTGCATATCCTGTAAAATACATGTTGCTCATTCACTGTCACCTTGTTCTGTCTCACCTTGCTGTAAGTGAAGTCAGTGGCAAACCTTCACTGACCTCGAAAGGAGCAGGATTTGTCCTGAGATGCCTAATCCAAAGCAGGACTCCCTCTTAATTCAGTAAGCTTTGGATCAGACCTAGAAGGGCTCTTAGCAGAATCAAGAAGTGGCAAGACACAGTCACATATCAAAACCACATCCGAGTATTTATCTCACATTTCTAATCTTTGATGTGAAAGGGATTTAAATAGCAAGCTGCTCCTGTCAACTGCTTGGATGCCACACAGGATGTAAATGACTGAACAAGCACCTATAGGATATCTATGCACATTCATATGGTTTCACCTCTTCAAAAGGCAGCTAATATTTTAATTTGAGGCATATGACAATATTTTCTCACTTGCTTCCCAACCTGCCACTCTCAAAATGCCACCATCCTTTCTATTCCTGCAGAGGAAAGAACATGGTTTTGCCTCTTGTCTCAGGACAAACTAGAAAATTATTTGACCAAACACAAAAAAAAAAAAAAAAAAAAAAAAAAGAAAAATCTAAAAGAGATGCTATCTAAACACTTCAGATAAAACCTTGCCACTGATCCTAACGCAGTCTGTTTCAAAGTGCATCCAACTGATTCCACCATATCTTGTTTTAGCTTACCCGGGATCAAATGTGTTGTGATGGTCTTTGCTCTCCTTTATGTCATTCAGCAAAGTTTCTATAGCTGTCTGAGCTGCCATGGGCATATCTGACTATAATATTGGCTCATATATGTATTTACAGACCGAAGGTGACTAGACAGAGAAACTGAATGCATGTATTATGGTGACTTCTAGCTACCAGAACCACAGAAAGCACATCAAATGGCATTAACTTAGACAAAAGGCAATTGAAATAATGAAAATCATTACAACATGTATGCAAGTGCAATGTGAAACTCCCTGTAGCAAAAAAAGATCTATAACATTGAATCAAATTAGGGGATGAGGGGAAAAGGAAATAAAAAGGTAAAAAATAATTATTTAGACATCTGGGGAAATTGAAGAAACAGCCACATTCATCTGCAAAATCTGAAGAGAAATCTGCTCGGAATGACCAAAGGGGGATTTTCTTAAAAGCTTGGGGTCAGCCTAACTTATTTTAAGCAAATGCACGATGGGGCACTGTGTAAGTCATAAGAACAGTTTGATGAATGGCAAGCACTCATGCAAGTTTAACCGTCCTATATTTCTGCATTTATTCAACATGCAAATGAATGAAAGCGAATCACAGGCAAAGAATGTAAAAATCAGTATATTACTTCTGTTTTATTCATCTGCTTCATCTTACTGTGTTGACTCCTACCTAGTCTTAGGAAAACACTAATTAAGCATATGTCTCAAGCCTTAGAGACAGCTGCCTTCGTTCCTGTACATAAAAGAGAAAACATTTCACAGCCCAATCTGCCTGCTGGATGTCTCTGAGGCAGGGTCCATGGCCAGCTGATGTCCCGGGTCGCGTGCAGTGTGTTTCAGCAGCGTGGCTCAGACAGGATTTCCTCCTGCCCGCATCCAGGAGGAGAGGAGAGGTCTGTTATGGAACACACTGCTGACGTTTCAAGGCGTGCAGGACTGAGAAGCTGGTCCCTGAGTCCTGCAGGCAGTGCAGAAGCTGTGTCACAGAAGGGCTGGCAGGGGCTGAGGGATGTTAGCTTGCACCAGGGGATCACGGTGCGTAACACGGCCTCCCTGAACCCTTTTTGGCAAAACTTAGGCCCATCTGCTTCCCCTCTGCTCTGTCTCCTGGAGAGGAACATATGGGCCAGAATATGTATCTTGGAAGCATAAAATTTATTCATGTCATTTTCTAAAATATTCGGAATAAATTTATTCATGTAGTTTTCTAAAATATTCTGAATACTTTCATTTTTCTCCTATAAGCTTTTATTCTGCTTACAAACTTTAAATTCTGCCACAACATTTTTTTAATTTAAGTAAGTTCCTTGCTTAAAAAGTTAGGTAGCTCACAATGAAAAACAAAATTAAAAAAGAAAAAAGTGTATTGTACCTCAATAGTAAGAGTTACTATTGCAAGAAAAATCTTCCCCAGAATTCACATTTTTTTGTCCATTGCAGGATCATATTTTAATACTTACCTTGGTCCAAGAGCATTGCATCCAATAACAAACAACAACAGAAGAAAATAAAACCAAGTTAAGCTTAACACAAACATTTAACATCAAACATTTTTGTTCTGAGTCATTCAAATTGGAGATGAGCTAATTCCAAAATTTACCTCACATTAATTAGTGCTTCACACCACAAAGAGAACAACCAAGTTCCTCAAGATGCAAGAAAATCTTTCTTTAAATACCAGTACCAACATCTGTGTGTGCAGTCCCATTTCCACAACCAGGGTAAACTTTTCCATTGTTATCAGTGAGACTTCAGCCAACCTCCCTGTTTGAAGACAGCAGAACTGGACCCAGGATTCATTTGAATTTGTTCTCACTTCTGACTAAATACATATAAACTTTACACATATATATTTGTGTGTGTATGCATGTATAGAATATATACTTGTTTATATACATGTATACACATAAATATGCATGAATAGAAATATTAATATGAATATAAATATATATATTCATTAATATTTTAGCATTTTTATACAAAACACTCTAATTCTTGATTGCAAAAATGTAGTATGAGAGAAAACATGCCATAATAAAGCCACGCCAGACCAGCTGATGACTTTTTGATAGCTTATCCAACACAACCTACCAAACACTGACACACCACACATGCAGGGACAAGCAACACTGAAATGGATGTTTGCCATAAACAAATATTTTTCTAACAAACAAGTAGATAATGTACTCTGTCTGCATTTTCATTGAAGTGTTTCATATGGAATGCATTAAGAATCACACAGATGTTTCTCATCACATACAGCAAAAGCAAGGTACAGTACAGTACAGTAGTTGCCTAAAAACAAATGAACTCAGCAGGGTTCCTTCTGCTGATTTCAGGGATTTAGGACAGATTTGGGTGTTTTCACTTAATGATATGCAGACTTTTAGATTCTTCTTTTATCTAAATATTTTAGTGGATGTTGTTGATTCCTACAAGTCAGATGCATGGGTCATGAAACCATTTCCTACTATCTTTGTATTAAGCCTATTGTTTATCCTACCTTTGCTGCAACAGATGAGTTGGGTTTCTCAAGCAAGTCCCAAAGCTTCTTCCTTTTCTCTGGGCAGCAGGTATTATCAAACTCTTCCCCTTCTCTCTCTCGCAAGGTCTCTGCCTCTCTCCTCAGTTCCTCATTCATTTGCTCTTTCTTTTGATGGTATCTTGCCTGGCAGCAAGATTCTAAATATATTTCATCAATCCCCCAGTAATCAAGCTCCTGGCCAAAAGAGAGAGCACACATTTCTTCCATCATATGTAGTTTCCCTGTCCTGTAGAAATTCAAAATGGAAGTGAAAGCCCCCGGGTGTCGATCAAAAAAATACTCATTTTCATTCAGATTATAGTCATCACATACTTCTAGCAGAGATTCATGGGTATTGCAGTCTCTGAGCTTTCCTAATCGTGTCCTTGGAAGTCTGTCCAAAGTCCTCCATAGCACTTCATGGTTGAGTCCACCAACATTTATTTTAACTCTCCGCGAGCAGGCTTTGCTCCTAATGATCTCCACTGGTTCCGGAGGGAGAGAAAGGGTGGACCTTGAAGACTTTTTGGTGATCCCTGGTGGAGCTTTCTCAGCCATTCTGTAAAAGACGAAGTTGTAACACCAGAGTCTGTAGGAAAATGAGCTTGGAGACTATGAATATTTGGGCAGAATCCTCTTCAGACAGATAGCTCCATTCCTGAAGCTAGAAAAGACAAAAACTTAGAATATTTCCAGTACAATGCACCCTCCAATCTCTCTCTCTCTTTTTCCATACTTTCATATACAGATGAAAATTTAATTATTTTAATTTGCCCTCTTTATAGTGATATTCTTTGTGGTAATATCCAGAAGCACTGGAACAGCTGGAACAGCTAAGAGCATTATGCTTAAGCAAAGGAAAAACTCACTGGAATTCCTGCATTTGTGAAAATCAACTGTTACAATTTTCACAAAGGACTTGGGTTTTTTCTTTTTTTTAAGACTCACTTTCTGATGTTGCTGTGTTAGCTTAATCCAATTACTTATCTTTTAATGGGTGAGGCGTGCAATGGAAAGATTATAGGGATATCTATAAGTAAAGACAGAGGCTAGTCTACCTTTTATTGAAAAATTCAGATTTGCGAGATACTGAAACTGAATAAAACAATCACAGCACATCAAAATCTCCAAACCAAACTGCTTCCCTCCTTGTCCCAATACAAATCTTAATTTGCTCTTATTATGTCATGGGTAAATGTTATTTACCAAACAATTCAAATGCCATCCTGAGAAGTCATATTTTTTACCACCAACAGAGCACTTATTTCTTTACAAATGGGCCAAAAGAATCCTAAGTCTTTTGTGGTCAACTGACCAGTAATACATGTTTTACAGGCAAGGGCTGTGCATACAGTTCTCTGGATCCTCTGCAAGGCTCTTCTCTGCCCCACTGTTCACCTGTTACATTGCTGCAGACACGACTGCACGACAGCAATCAGCGACCTCAGTTTCAGTAATCAAGTGATTACTGAAAAACAAGTGCACTTCAAAACAAGTGCACCCTCACTCACTGTGCCCAGTGCTCCAGTGAACTCTGAAGTGCAGCTGCTTGTCACTAAATGTAGAATATCAGGAAGGAAACCCACCCACCAGCTCTACTGCTGCCAACTGTCAGACACAGTGCTTCAATATTAACCTAGCAATGGCAGCATGGCCCAAAGAATGCTTACACAAGGCTTCTGTTCCAAACTTGGAAAGTCCTCCTCAGTAATTCCCACAGCTGACATCTCCTCCTCCTGTTATCAGCAAATCAACAATTCAACAATCTGGTTTTTTGTTCTTAATTTGCTTGTTTTGTTTTGCTTGAAGTTAAATAAATCCAGCAAATAAAAGAATTTGAAGTGTACAAGAATTTGATCCTCTTTGCAGAGTAAAGCATGAAAGTTGTGCTGGGAGGGATTGTTACTTATAAATACATCAGGAGTAAACACCTGGGAGGGGTTTGAACTATTTGTACTGAAGTACCAGCTGGCACAAGAACAAATGGGTACAAACTCATCATGAGAAAAGGCAGAAATTTGAAAGAAAATTAGAAGGTCACATAGACCAGATCAGATCCAGAGCAGTGAGGACTTAGAATAATCCTTTACTAGAAGTATCAGGAAAAACAAAGAATAATTCCAGTGTGTCATCTGACATGCCCATGACAGTATTGACTCTGTTGCTGGTATAAAATCAAAATGGCTACGTTTCATTATAGCCAAACTTTAAAAGTTCCTCCGCCAATAGATAAAATAAGACTCAGGCAACTACAGTCCAGGTGTGACTATCATGTCCAAAAACATCAGAAAAGAGCAAAATTACTTATGAGAGAAATTCTTACATCTAAAGATTTAAGATCTAAGATTTAAAGGTTTTTCTTTTTGTTTTGTTTGGTGCATAAGCTAAATTATGGCAACAGCCCAGAACACCATCATTTCAGTTACCAATTTCACAGTCAAGCTGAACTTCAAAACTGTAAGGGTCCAAATATTCTGCATCTTCCCATACTGCCTCCAGCACTGCATTGTGAAGATCCCTCCTCATCTCCCAGCGCAACCCAGAGCACTTCTGTGCCTAATTACATAAGGGCTTAAGCCTGTAACATTTACTGTCATTCACAAAAATGATTATCTGATAACTTCACTTTCAAAGATAAATATCCTACCAAAATCAAACCCCCAGCATCAGTAGGTTTGCATAATATACATCCCTTTCTTTTGTGTTTGTTTTTTTTTTTTTTTTCTCTTGACCTTAGACTGATTTTTTTTCTCTGGTTTTACCCTCCTCCTCATTGCCTTATATGCAAGGGGATGATGGTGAGACTTCTGAGAAGTGGGGGACTCCAATCCTTGCAAGATCTCCTCATTTAAGCATTTCCTAGTGATTTGTGATGCACTTATCAGTCTTCTGGCATACAGACAGCTACACAAAGAGTAAACAGTTACGAGAGGATATTTCTATACAGAAGAAATATTTGCAAACTGTATTTTTTAAAAAATCCTTTTCGGTTTTAATGCACTATGATATTTCTCCTTTAAACTTAAGAAAACAAAAGAATTTAAGAAATTCATAAAGAGGTTCTGTTAACCTTCATGAAATCAGTTAAGTCTTCATACATTTCCTAGAGAGGTTCACTAGTTTATTCACTATTGTATCTCAGGGATTTATTTTTCTGTTTTTAAAATGAAAATGTGCACCCTGTTATTAGCAACATCAAGTAAAAACACAATAGAGATCAAGCATCTCATCTGTTTAATCTTAAGTTAACTATATCCTTATTTATTTTTCTGATTGCAGAAACAAAAGATTAACAAGACCGTGTATTGTTTTAACTCTTCTGCAGTGTAGTTACCAGACATATTTTTCAAACAATGCAAATACTCTAGTGTCACCATGACTGGTCCAAAGCTGATAAAACATTTTTTGATTTTTCCGTATAATTATTGGTTTCATTTTCCTACTTGAGGAAATGTGGCTTTTCTAAAAAACTTCAAAAATCCTGGTGGTCACACTGAAGTCAGCAGTGAAACACTATTAAGTTTAGTGTTGAGAGTGTGCTATATACATGTGTATATATATATATGTATATATACATGTACCAAGGGATGAACTACCATTCACATCATGCAGCATTCTGAAAAGATAAAAAAAGCACATTTTCCCAAGAAGAATCTTGAACCTTGAGGATGATTTTTTGCCTTTTTTACAGAGCTCTTGTCATTGAAATATATAATGAAGAATGAGAATGTATAACTTAAAAATAAAGAAATTAATTTGTTTTGTTTCCTTCACAAATGCTTTCCTTCCCACCTTCTTTCATTATTCATACCTTCTTTAGTTCTCCAATGATAATTTTTAAAAAATCTATTCCTGTGCAGCTTTTCCCCAAACCTTGGCTAAAAAGCCTGGTTTTAACTGTGCCTTTAACAAAAACATAATCAATGGCCTCTACTTTCAGAATCATAGGCTTCCTTTAACATCTTCACAGTCCTCCTTTGGGCACTGCTATAGCTTTATATTATTATATTGTGGCATCCAAAACTGCCCCCAGCACTCAAGGTGAGGTTGCCCCAGTGCAGAGCAGAGCAGGACAATCCCCTCCCTTGCCTGGCTGGCCATGCTGTTCCTGATACCCCCAGGACAGGCTTGGCCCTCCTGGCTGCCAGGGCACTGCTGACTCAGAGTCAACTTGCCATCGACCAGGGCCCCCAGGTCCCTTTCTCTGGCACTGCTTTCCAGCCTCTCATTCCCCACACTGCACATCGATCCAGAGTTGTCCCACCCAGATGGAGAACCTGGGCACTAACACCTGCCAACTTGCTTAGTACCCCTTCCAGTCCTGCATCCAAGTCATTTATGAAGATGTTGAAGAGCACAGGGCTGAGGACGGAGCCCTGCAGAACCCCACCAGTGACAGGTCAGTCTGATGTCATCCCATTCACTACAACCCTTTGTGCCTGACTCATGAGCCAGCTGCTCACCTATCCCATGATGTGTTTATCCAGCTGTGTCCTGGACATCTTACCCAGAAGGATCCTGTGAGAGACAGTACCAAAAGCCTTTCTGAAATCCAAAAAAGGTTACACCCAGCGCTCTCCCCCTATCAACTATGTGGGTTACGTTGTCAAAAAAGGAAATCGCCATTAGGTTACTGTATAACATTTCTAACTTGAATCCACATTATCAATTTAATACAAAATCACCAGATCTTTCATCAAAACAAAATTATACAAGTGAAGTTACTTTACAGTTCATTAAATTACCTTTCTGAATTTTAGCTACTGTAACTAACTCAGAAGACTTTTTTTTTTCATAATAAGGCTTAAAATACATTTCAGCTTGGCTTATTGCCATAACCTTCAGGCTGTGTGCAATTCCACCATGCACCTTGTCCACCAGGGGCTAGTAATAAATGTAACTATCACTCGGGAGACAGGCAAAGCCATCCTGGCACTCACCAGCACTCTTAGCAATTGGTAGAGAAAAACACAAATTCAACGTAAGAGCAAGTCTTGATAAACCCTGCATTCTTCCTGTGCAATAACAAAAATACTTTGTAGCAAAATACCTGTAATATTACATAAAACTCTTCAAATCAAAGTCAATTCTTTGCATTAAATAAAAATGAAAACTTCAAAGACTACAACTCGAAAAGCTAGGGAAAGCCAGAAGGAAGGTTAAGTGCCCTCCCCCGCACCACAGACATGCAGCTTTTAATGGTGTGGCTCTCACATCAATCCCTTCTTCTTCACATGAACGGGTAATTATTTGCCATTTCTTTTCATCTTTCTCATTCAGAATTTGGCCTCTGATGTTATTCAGCATTTCCTGCTGCAAGGCCTACATTACACACAAAGTGCTGAATTTCCCTCAGGGAGCTCTCCCTGTCCTACCCAAGCACTTCCAGGGTATCCCAGACTCCCCTTCAGTAGGAGGCCATTATTACCATTGCTTTATAGAAATGAAGGTCATAGACGCCTGAGGTATCCAACAATTTTGGTTGCTCAGATTGAGATAGCTGCTTTTTAGAGTCCTTAGCATTTTCAGCCCATTTGATGGGCATGCCTACAGGGCCAGATTAAACCCTCAGGCTGAGGAACCCAGTTATCTGTGCTGTCACGTTGCCGGAACAGCGCCTGCCAGGGCATGCTTAGGACTCTCCCAAGTCATTTGCAAGGATGG